TCACAATTAACAGGTAATATTTAATATATTGACACTAAGCAGTAAGTATATAGCACATCAATGACATTAAACAACATGATGCGCAACTCAGGCATTTTTGGCCGAAGATCGTATCCGATAGCACGCTCCAATGCACATACTTGACGAGACGAAAACGAGCGGATGTGTGCTGTTTTCAAGGCATAGCACTAATGGTGTTCGTTCCTGCTTTGACAGTTGTTGTCGATTTTAATGATATATTGGAAAATTGAAGATAAAAAGAAATCGGAAAAAAGTAAGGTAAATACTATTGTTGTATATCACACCCGGGCATTGCACTGTTAAGTACATGTGGGAAAGCCAGCTTTTGTCAAATACTACGAAGTTATTAAATCAGTACGGTACGTAGTTGCCCATTTGCCGAAATTGCATATTTACTTACCCCTTACGGTTTCAAATAGTTCATGCACCTCCAATTTAGATTATTTTTAATCAGTGAGGATATATACTCATTGCTGTAACATACTATTGCTCATTCACTTTTATTTGCGTATTGAATCAAAGGGTTAACAAGTTCACCTAACATTTCACTCATACCGGTCTATATTGTATAGTAATTTTCTGACTAAACCCCTTTATTAGTTGGTTTATATACCAAATTCAGTAAAACATTTTTTACATAAAACATGAGATATTGGATTTATTAGCTTTTCCAATCTAATCATTATAGACTGCTTTATTTATTCTTAACGAAAATTATTAAATCTCCTCTCTTTCTTTAGATGTAAAAGTTGTGGGAAAACCTGTCTAAGCATTGTGGGACTCCTGCAGCACAAGAGGCATAGCAAAAATAGAAAGTATATCAATCAAGTAATTAAGCCGACATAAAGCAAAACTTTCAACTATTCGTCCAACCTCAATTTCCTATTATTTATTCACAGGACAACTGTAGCAGAAGAGGAGATATCAGAAGTCTGGCGACATATCAGTGACAGTGTGATTCCAAGAATACAATCAGGAATACTCCATAAATGTTTGCAATAGAAGAACAACCTATGGAGACATGCAAAGACATTTGACCCTCCGGTAGAGTTGTGTATGGCCCCTACATCCTGCAGGACTTGAGGAAAATAACTAAAAATTCCAAAGCGTAAGATTGCATAAGCGGTCTTATTCGTAAAAAGGCACAAAACATGCCAGACATACTTAAAACAGCTTTGGAAAATGAGGATTATGGGTCACTCACTACACCTGTGTTATATTGATTCAATCAACTTTTGGTAGTAGGCCTACTAAAGAAGAAATTCAGGAAAGGGTATAATCATGATTCATGATAAAATACTGTTTTATATTTAGAACAACTTCAATCTAGACCAGGGATATCAAACTCGCGGCCCCGGAGAACTTCCAGTGCGGCCCTTGAACGCTAACAATAATTGTAATTGTATTTTGGAGTTTTTTTTATCTAAGTGTAATAGATTTTTCAACCCTTTTAAAGTGAAATTGAATATTCACACAGAAAGCAATTTACTGAAAGTAGTTTTGGAAAATTAATTTTTTTTTTAACATTTTGACCCAATTAAGAATACATATCAAGCTAGCAAAAGAATACTTGAATAAAACACTTGAGTGAATAAATTGAACGCAAAGTACATGAAGAAGGTGGCATTTTCGAAGAAAATGGGAGTTGCAATATTTCTGCATTTCACAAATTTTGAAGCACATTGTTCAATTTGTCATATTTTCATCAGTACAATAAAAAAACACAATAAGCTCAGCAGTCAATATGACAATTTCGAAGACCAACTTCGAACAGAAAATTACCATGTGTTTGTATATTAATATAAATATACAACGAATTAGTTACTAAAAATTAATATCAATAATAATTCAAGCAATCCTATGCCATGCAATGTGGCGCGAAATGTCGTGTCGAAAATATCTGTCATTTGTTTTTTACTGATCTATTCATGAAATGATAAAAAGAAACTTTTTTGCATTACTGGAATTAATTAAACATTCGCAAAGATCCAGATTAACCCATGATCATGTGACCTCGTTAGTTAGAGTTGATACTATAAAATCATTTCAGCCTTGCCTTAGTATGCTGGTGACACAAAAAAGATGCCAAACGTCAGGACAAATGTAATTAAAAAAACATTGAGTTTATACTGTAGTATTTTTGTTAATTTCAAGTCCATGTATTTAGATTAAGTCATTTTTAGTGTATGTATTATTCTTTCTTTATCCGGAGCTTGTTCAAAAATGATTTTGATGGTTGTATAAAGAATTTTATGATTTTTTGTAATAAATACAGTAACTTGCAATAATAGTGGAATGCAAATATTAATATGTAATTGCATTTGAAATTAAAGAAAATAATAAACTTAATCCAACTGTTTAGTTGCATCACATATATGTCACAAACTAAAACTATCTGAAAAATATCTTCAAGTATACATATCAAAAAGTGTTTTTGGCCCTTTTTACAATTTCCAAAATGCAATGCGGCTCTCAAAAACCCTTGAGTTTTACACCACTGATCTATTCTAGACGATTCAAGCATTGCTTTGGGAAATAATATCACTGCAATTAAATTGAAAAAAATCTCGCTATATTGAATACAAAATCGTTGCTATCATAAAGGTAAACCAATTCAGCCACTCGGAATATATTGGCCTTCACAAAGCAATGGAGGCAAAATTGAGAGTTCATGAGCTATGAACTTATGTTCTTTTCTTTGTCTTGAACTTTATATACTCCACAGCCCCTATTAATTTTTTTTTAATTTTAATTACCATGTGATGGTCATACATATCTTTAACTTGTATTTTCTGTTATGATGTATATCTCAATGTGTCAACTTTTAATTAGTGTGCATATTTTGCTTCCAGATGACATAAATGTACAGTATTGTCTTGTTTATTACCTCAGCTTGGAGTATTGACAAGAAAAAGGTGCCCGTAAATTACGTAAAAAATTTTTTAACTCTTTGTTATAATCAGAATTCACAATTAATAGGAATCATAAACAGCCAACAATCAATGAGAATTATATGCCAAATCCCTCAGAATAAATTTGTCTTCTAAAATCGGAGGAAGGCAAAACATATAGGTAGTTTCCATTCATACAAGTCTTTCAAGAAGACTTGCTCGAGCCAAACTAAATGAGCATCGTCAGATGATCGGTAAGTCTGCAAGTTGAATCAGCCCCTGCAACCTCCTACATAGAAGATAATATTAATTAGTGGGCTATGAACTAAATTCCTAAATTTAGACACAAACCTATCTACGAGGCATTATGTACCAGCAATGTTACCTACGGTTAACTAAATATGTAATATATATGTCTAATAAATTAACCTACTAAAGCATGTTCGATAGGTGCAAACTTTGTGTTATGGAATTGTATCACAGCACCGTTAAGAGAAGTATAAACAGTTTTGCATGACACTCTCTTTAAATGAAATTTCAATGTTTTAAGCGCAAACATTAAAATTACTAACTTTGTCATTATCTGCAAAATGTTCTACACAAATCTTTACGCTATCGCGTTTGTAATCTTCTCTGATAAAAAAAACGTCTATGATGTCCAGAATTACTCTTTACAGCTTGTCTGCCATTCCAGCTTCCCAAGTGAGCAAAACTTCTTAGATATAGAGATTATTTTCTTTCGTTACAGGCGCAAAAAGGCAGGCACTACACGTAAAGTAGACGCCGAGTAGCAAAAGCGAGCGGAAAACGGTCGCGAAAGGCGACGAGAAATATGTGCATTGGAGCGTATCATGAAATACAATCTTTCGCATGTAGTCTTATGGAGTGACGTCAGAGTTGCCTATCATGTTGTTTAATGTCATTGAGCACATATAAAAATATTAGAAATGATTAAAAGAAATACACTGCATAATAAAACATTTCTATTACAGTGGATCAATTAAAGAAACTATTCAGATGCATATCACATATTCAAAATAGCATATATTTTGAAGTTCTTACATGCCATTGTTAATATCATTTTTACTAAGTTGTCCTCAATTGAATCGAGTAATTCTAAAAATTTTTGGGGATGATTTGAACTTCTAATCACATAAAATGTCATAAAGCAGATTAGCAAGATGTTGTATTTCATATATTTCAGTATTATGGAAAAATATCTTTTTATAACAGTAGTTTTAATCACAAAAAGGTTGGGTTCTAAGATAATTAGATTTCAGATATACAGCAATGATACCAGTGATATTTTCATATCTTTCTGTAATAATTAATCTAACAATCTAAAATATTGGCACACTAAAAATAGTCCAAAAATTACTCATATTATCAGAATTGATATGATTCAATAATATTGAAATCACAATCTTTCTTTTTATGACAGTTATTATAATCACAAAAAGATTGGGGGTTCGAAGGTAATTAGATTTCATATATAGCATAATATTCGATCAATATGTCAAATTTAGAGCAAATCTAGTCCAAAAATTAATCATGTTGTCAGAATTGAGATGATTTAATATTATTGATGATCTTTCGATTATCAAATCATTTAATTTACTAAAAATAATAAACAAAACAAATAAGGCAAAGTAAAAGTAAATTATGATAAAGTCAATTAAGTTACTGCATAGCCTATTTTAGTGCTGCACATCCACCCCACAGTTAGTTATTTCTACATTCCAGCTCTCAAGCTAGCTTTTGATTTTTCCAATCTCTCTTCATCAATTTCAATATTAGAGCCAGATATTACCAAGCCCTGATTCTCTGCCACAACTTGTTCAATCTCCTCATCCTGGGCAAAGGACAATTTTAGATGCTTTCTAAGAAAACACAATATAAGTCTCATATTGACATCATTTGCTTTTTTGGGATCAGCAGGTCCTCTGAATCTTATCATCTTTGCTAGCCATTCCGAACTTAACAAAAAGGCAAAATCACATTGAGTGTGGTGAACAGTACCACACAAAGTTACCAATTTACGTTCAGCTTCTGTATTAGTTACATCACAGTCAAGTTTTCGAATACTGGCTATATAATATTAGCTTCCCACTGAAATGATTCAGAGTTGATAAAAAGCAGAGGTGTGTCAATATTAGCCTTATAAACTTCAGGTCCCAAGGGATACATCCATACATCTAGAGGGATTCCAGCTTTGAAGCGGAGATCTTTCACCAGTGAAGTTATACTTGTAGCACCACCAAATGAGTGACCAATGACAGCTGCTTTGTCAATATCAATTTTATCTTTGAATACAGTCAAATCAAAATCTGATAAGATGTTGGACAAAGTACCAGCGTTCAATAACTCTATACTATCCATCAGTTTGGAAATTTCTTTCGCTCGCTCATGGACTTGCTTGTTTCGTAGTTCTCTTTCTTCTGTTGTTGCAGGTTGGACACGCTTGTATGGTAACCAAACTTTATCGTACTTCTCATCTCCAGAGTTTGTTTTTTCAAGATAGAAAGTATTTGAGGCAGATTCATCACGATGCTCAATAGCTGCTACAAAGAAACCATGAGAAGCTATTTCATATGCAGTGTAGCTATAGACAGTTCTGTTTGCACCAAGTCCATGAGAAAACACAACAACAGGCAGCCTTGGCTTTTCTTGAGATAGTGACAATGGACCTTGCCAATAAACTGGAACTCTAGCAGAACCAAACATCCATCTTAGTAAACCGCCAGCGAAACCAAACTTTTTTTTTTTTTTTCACAAACGCTCACAAATGTGTTAAATGTGATACAGTAATAATCATAGAATGGGGAAAAGAAATTTTACAATCATTATTATCCAAATTGTAATCCATAATATCCGACGTAGTTTCCATTTTTCAGTATTCCAATGTTCAATAATCCATATATAATCCAACTCAAATCCATATATAATCCGCAATATCAATTCAGTGCCAATTTATGTGTGTGGTACCCAACTTCAATCATTGGGTGAATTAATATGTCCTTTCTGCTTGTCTAAAGCCTTGCTTAGGGAGGTATCGTATACCACCCCATTAATAGATTGTAGCAAGCACGATACATGGGCTATTGCTGGGCAGAAATTGGTCAGAATGGGATATCGTGAACGTTCTTTGGCGACTATTTAGTCGCTTGTGATCCTTGTTTACTTTGAGCTCTGCACAACGACCCCGATAAGAGAGAGGTGGCTGACGTATTGAGTTTGTTGACATACTCGTAGGCGCCATTACGGGTGACCGTCGCTATACTTTGGCAAGCTGTATTTCGTTATTGTGATGTCGCAGTGACGTAATTTTTGAATGACGTCATCAGGTGGGGGTCAGGTAGGGATGAGCAATGTAGAATAATTTACTGTTCTAGAATATTCTAGAATAGTTAAATCGAATCCAGAATACCGAATCCTATTCTATTTTCATACTTATTCAAATAGTGGGAATTTCCACATTGCTGGATTTAGAAGTTAAAAAATTGTAAATGTATTACTATAAATGTACTATTTATTGGGAAATGTGCTGAACATTGGATTTCATTTGATACTTAACAGGCATTTCCCAGGACAATAAAATTTAGGAATATTACAATATTTTTTGCCTTCAATTGTTCCAAATGTATGGAATCCCTAAATACTGAAATGCTATATTAAGACACGGTTTACACACTTTAATAATGAGCGGTAGGCTTGCACGTAATTTACGGAATTATTTCGAGTTATGGAAACGAAGTTACGAATTATGTAGTAAAGTCGTAATTATTGTTCGAGCGCTTTCGCGATAGAAACGAGCTCTCTTCAAAGCAGTCAATTCCGTCGATTGTAAAGAATGAAAGTTTAATAAGTAGAAGAAGTTAGAGTTCCGATATTCGCAGCCGTTTTTCTCTCTCTTGTTACGCAGGTAGGGGAAGGCATTCTGTGCGTTATCACCGTAACGCAATTGACACAGCCAGACTTTTTTGTCTTCACGATATGGTATCTTTTTAATTCGGCGCTAATGTGTGATTGTTGATTGCAATTCCGGAAGGCGTATTTTTCTTTCTCTCCATGAAACAGACATGAAACGAATTTTACCGCCGCTATGGACGCTCAAAAGGAGAGAAGGTGACTTTTTTCCCCTACTCAATCACTTTTATTAATACAAATCACAGCGCATTGGAAAACAAATTAGAATTTATCAACATTAATTTACAGCGAGTTACGGGTAATAATTTACCAACGGCTATCGCTAACTGGTAGCAACGATAATTGTGAAAAAAACGCCTTTTTAAATATTTATTTTCCGTTATTTGTGTTAATATAACTTTTATGTATTATTATTTTTATAGTTGCCCGTATTTAAATAGTGGGAATTCCCCACCAAGTGTTGATTAGAAATGCTTACCATTCTTTATTGTTAATATAAACACTTGATATATGAACCATAGAATATCATACTGTTTTTGGCTGTTTTATTTCGACTTGGTGTATAAACAGGAAAATATCCATAACCTTTCAACACGACTGCCGATTTTTAGGTTTCTCGAGCATGCGAAATTTAACGAAGCGCTTTCGCGATGAATCGGAAGCGAAAAGAGCGATTGATTACTCGACGCCAATACGTCATCGCCGTGATAATTAATGTCGGGCTTATCAAACAGCAATATGACGACGGAAGAGAAATTGCCTTATGAACCAACGCAACTTCGCTTTTTCAGCATCGGTAAAGCGATTGAAACGGCAGAGAAACAACAAAAGAACGGGAACGGGAATGATTCGTTAATAATATTTGATTAAAATAATCGCAAGTAATGTTATAACATTTAACTCCTGGCTTTTGGTTTACATGCATCATTTTTTGGAAAAACTCGCAGGTCGCGAAAAATCATTTAACGTAAATGAAGCAAGGCACCTGTAAACAGTTAAAGATTGTTTCATTCAGATTATCGGAATATCGTCAGTAAGTTGGCACAAATAATTCTTATTATTACACGCTAGCTAGATAGCAAAGCAGGAATACACAAAAATGGCACAATAACGAGTCTTCACCGTGAGGTATACCGTACTTCGCCGACTTCATGTCCTGAATATGCCGATTGAGATTACCGTCTTTGATGTTTAACGATTTTACGGGTTCCTTGCGAACAGGCGCAAGTTTAATTAAACGAGAGAGATTTCCATGCGAGAAAAAAAGCTCGTCTGTAGTTGATAAATTAGAAACCCGAAATACAAAAATTGACGCAAGGCGCCGGAGAGGCGAAAACCGAATCCTGTTATCGGATCCCGTTGGATTCGAATACTATGGGATTCGAATCCTCCGGATTCGGTATTCTATATTGCCCATCCCTAGGGTCAGGATTCATATATCCAAAAATTGTCACGCCACGCCCACTAGAAGTTATTCAGGTAAGAAAGTACATGAGACCCCATTTTTCTTGATTATCATAGGAATCTGCCATGTTTGGTATTTGAATCTTGTTATCTCTTTCTTTTTGTTTTTAGCCAAATTTTGCTTCATTTTGTTAAATTGAGTGAGAACTCTTTTTCCCATGTCTAACCTTTTTTTTAACTCTTTTAATTGGTTCATTTCGTTGTTGTACTCATTTTGAGCTTCTTTAGCCAATTTCACTGAGTAGCAAACACTGAACTCTTTGATCTTATTCTTTATTTCAATCGACCATTTTGTTTTATTCTCAAAAAAGAATTTCAATGTTTTCCAGTTTGCCCACCTGTGTTTCAGTTCATTTTTAAATTGTTGATTGTCTTTTTTTTTTTTTTTTTTTTTAAAGGTCCACGTTGTGGATTCATAACAGTTTTATAAAAATAAATAAATGATGAAAAAATAATAATCATAGAACATAGTTACATTGATTGTCTGATGCATTATTTTTCCAGTAGCCTTTACCTCTTTCATCTTTTGTTTGGTTTATTTCTAACTGAATTGACCCGACCCGACCTTAGCTCTAGTTACCACCGCTGTGAAGAGTGAAGCTAGTAGAATTTGACCTTTGTGTGCGGCGAGGCGAAAAGGTTAAAATTCTTGGCAGAATTGTAGGCGTGTCATTATTTACAACTGAAAAAATGTAGACAGGTAAAATTAACATAACAAAAAAGGAAAGATATTTATCAAATGAGACTAAAATTACCATTTACAAAGCAAAAGCATTAATTGCTTGGTAAAATAAGCATAATAAATAGTTAGCAACTAATTTTTTATAAATATCCCGTGTTGATTATGCTTTATTCATCAAAATTAATTTTTAAATATTAATAGAAATATCTTCCGCTCAAGAGGCACGCGATTTTATAATTTCATATCAAAGTAGAATATATAAAGTTTATCACACACATTGAACCTAAAACTACTCGAACTTAGAAAAGGGAGTACTCCCCTGTTGAAGATACCCCTTTTCATCAAAATTACGTAAAGCGAAAAAGGGTTAAATTTTGCAATTTTTAAATATTAATAGAAATATCTTTCGCTCAAGAGGCACGCGATTTTATAATTTCATATCAAAGTGGAATATTTAAAGTTTATCACACACATTGAACCTAAAACTACTCGAAATTAGAAAAGGGAGTACTCCCTTGTTGAAGATACCCCTATTCATCAAAATTACGTGAAACGTAAAAATGGTAAATTTTGCAATTTTCAAATATTAATAGAAATATGTTCCGCTCAAGAGGCACGCGATTTTATTATTTCATATCAAAGTGAAATATATAAGGTTTATCACACACATTGAACCTAAAACTACTCGAACTTAGAAAAGGGAGTACTCCCCTGTTGAAGATACCCCTTTTCATCAAAATTACGTAATGCGAAAAAGTGTTTGATTTTGCAATTTTCAAATATTAATAGAAATATCTTCCGCTCAAGAGGCACGCGACTTTATAATTTCATATCAAAGTGGAATATATTCAGTGTTTATTTTTAATCAAGAAGGTTATTATGATACTTGAAGACGAAAAATAAGCGAACATTTTGATGTTTGAGTCGTCTGGTGAACTCGTATTATTTTAATAAACACCTATAAACTCTATAAAATTCTGCTCTAAAATTTCTGTGGTGCCCCTCTTTGCTTGGTGCCCTAAGCACGTGCTTATATTGTTTAATGGTTAATCCGGCGCTGATGGCTGGAAAGGTGATTCAATTGTGACATGTCCTTTTTATTTTATAACTATTGAAAGTAGATCATCTAAATACTATGGTGTACTCGGTTTATATAAAATGAATTTTCAAATTTAAATTTTCTACTATAAAAAATGTAACTTTTATTTAATAAACAAATTGCAATTTGCATTGCGAGTACCTCGACTTTGACGGGCAAAATTTCCTGGGACGAAATGTGAATGATCAGATTTTGTTCCTCCCATTCTAACATACGATGGTCCGAGAGCTCTTGCTAATGTCAAGAGTTTTGTGTTGCTGTTAAAGGAAGTGACATCATCGAAATTAGCGATACAATACCGCAGAAAATACTGTAAATTTTATAGCATTCCATTATTAAAAAACCAAAGAGGACTACAACAATTTGTGTTCATAGATTCTTATGCCTGATAATTTAATGGATATAAAATGTATCTACCACAGATTGCAACACAAAGATATAACGCATCAGCATCATAGTGTGAACCAGAATAATTTCAGCATTTTTATCCAGACTGTGAGAGCTGATTAAGTTAATTTCCAAACACAGCACCTGGACTATGAACAGTAGTAAATGTTGGAGTAAATATTCGAGTCAATTAGTAAATTTCAACAAGAATTTAATTTAAAAGACACTTAATAACATTGTCTAACCTAGCTCATTAAAGCTACTGACTTCATATATTTGATGATCCCGTATTTGAAAATTCCCACTCCTAGCGTAACAGAAACAGATTTTTTATCGATATTGTAAATGGCTTCCGTACCGTTGATGGAGATGCGAATCTGTAATTCAGACATGAGTGAATGACTTTATTATTTCGCTAGGACCTATTTATGTAAAATTGGAAAAAAAATCGGCAATTGTCATTTAATCAAATCACAAATCATTGATTCTCTGAAAGAATGAGATTACATCGTATCAAAATAATTACATTTTCTTATTTAATGATGACCTCCTCGCTTCCAACAAAATGTAAAATCAAATCTGTTACATCACCATTACCACCCACACTTTACCAAAGCATGCCAACCCATGGATGACAACCTAACGCTCAGCGCGCTACCCCCATTCTCATCGTTTTCCCGTGAGGTCCTGCAATTTTCCGAATTTGTCAGTGCAATAAACACAGTATATACAACAATGGATCATTAACAGGCTTCGCGCGAAATCGTTTAAATATGTTTAATTACGATATTTAACGTTAGCAAGCCTAGCCCAAAATGTAGCCTTGGCAAAGATTTTAGTTATAATCCCACTTTTTTCCAAACGTGATAACCAGCAGATTCAAAGCAATCACTAATCTCCGCAATAACTCCATTCTAAATCGTCAACACACTGTACAATACAGAGCAAGGTTCGTTCGCAAAACCCAAATAAAAAATAGCACTTTTGCAAATCTCAAAGCCATCGAGGTGCTTTTTCTTCTCCAATTATTTCCGGCGTCGAACTCACTTTACTCAAGTCGTGTGATTTCTTGGCTCGATCGAATACAATGCAATAACATCATGGCAATTTTCACTCACAAAATCACCAATTGTAGATCATTATTAGTACACGTCACTGACCGAATAATAGTCATTTTTTGACTGCAAACAAAAGTCTATGAATTGTATGCCATGGATAATGGTGATTAGAATTAATATTGACAATTGGTCCCATTATTGATGAGAAAGTACAAATAATTTGGAAAATAATATAGCTTGTCGTAATACTGGTTTAATTTTCGGGTACAAACAGGCTTTTTACGGGATATTGACAAGTTTGTCACAAACTCACAGCCGTTCTTTTTTATATTGCTTCCATACACCTATGTATTGCTTTTATTTAGTCAGCTCTCGCTTGCAAATTTTCTGTTATTGCTATTTTCAATGCAGCTTGTGATAACTGAATATTTTATGACTTTTATCTAATCACGATTTTGTGATAAATGTAACCTTAGCATATTGAAAATGTGATATAAATGTCTTTCTAAACGTTTATTAGACACGAAATGGACCTACAGATCCACCTACTGTGCTACTTCAGTGGTTAAAGATTGTATTCTAGATTTCTAGAAAGATATTACTTTTATTTACTTTAGGAATTTTCTTTTTTTTTGTGTGTGCGATGACGTCGAAGCGCAGATTAGTTGCTACTCTCGTAGTCTGTGTATCAGATCGAGGTTAAGCCATAACCTCATTCCGACTTTCCTTATTCTAGTTCTATTACGAGTTATGGGATTGTGTGTGTGTTAGCCAAGTGGATATATCTTGTGCCCAGAGTTTCTGCCCCTTTACACAACTTGGTGTAGAGTAGGCGAACAATATTAGTTACCTTCAGTATGTTCTCCCAGCTTTTCCTTTTATGTGGAGGGGGGTGTTTCGAAATTTAGGGGGTGGTGAATATTTGTTATTAGCGATAAAACTATTTGTATTGTTAAAAAATTGGTATGTATTTAAGAAACGATATACATGAGGGTTCCCACAAGTTGATTGACCGCGAGCCAAAATAAACAGCAGAATAAAATTGGAGGGCCAGAAAAGGGCGCGAAGACACGGCTGGGGTTCAGGGCGTGCTCAAGCGTCCTGAGAAAAATTTGAGAAAGCCTAATTTTAGATACATCTAGCATCGCAGTTTGTTATGTAATAAAAGTAATAATTATATATAATAGTTAGCTGATAGAATTATCGAAAAATAAATAACAAGCACGGCTTGCAACAAGTAATTTGCAACCGATAGTGACTAATGAAGTTATTTGCTCATCTGGCATTGTATGAATGGCTACTTATGGCTTGTTTTGTTACACAAAAAACATCCCAATGTATATATATATATATAAAATAAATGCCATAATTTAGTTTAGTTCAAAACGTGGCTCCAATTCATTACATTGTATTTCAAATTTTTTCAAGTGATTGTCTGTCGGTCTCAACCAAAGTTTTGATTTGTCATGGTTCATAATTGGTTTGTTAGAAAGACTGATGCTGGAAAATTAATCCAATAGGTGCTGTGAAGTTTCATTTTACAAATTACTATTATTCGGGGTGAGTCACCGTGAAAATAAGATTTTTTAGTTTGAAGGACATTTAATCATCCCATTTCCGTGGCCGGAACATGCTTTTGCTTAGTTCCAGAAACAGATCAAATGTGCTAATAAATAAATTTGAGTGTGAATATAACCAATATTGCAGGGGAAGATAGGGCACGTTGGGACATGGGGCACAGTGGAAAATCAGCTCTCGCACTGATACTATATCCGCAATCCTGTCCGCGGTTCGATGTTTCAATCCGCCCATCGGTGAGTTACAACGTCCCCGCGAACGGACAACGGACGGGTAGAGCGGCGCAAGCTATGAGGTGAAATTGGTTTTAGGAGGTTGAAACTAAAATTTCATTGTTCCAGTTTTTTTTTTCTACCTTAGCTTTTTCAACATGACAAACCACCGTCTGATATTTTTCATTTTTTCAATAATATTTTCAGATTTAGATTCGAGGAAGGAAATATTCAAATTTGTTTGCGAATTTTTTTGTCAAAATATTTGAACTATTTCAGTTGAACAATGATTTCAAAAATATTAAATCTTCAAATTTGAAGTCTCCCTGTTCGTTAGACGATTATGCTGATGAAATGCTTATTTTTAAGGGCTCACTTCGTTGAATTTTGACAGACTGACCCACTGTGCCCCAGGGCCTGTCCGAATGTGCCCCACAAGTGGGGTACAGTGGGACACTTAACAGACGTTTTTCAAAGCATTTTGGTAGTAAGATGTGTGTCGCAAGAGAATTTCTCAGTCGCTGAATAAAATCTACATTTACCCCACTATGCATTAGTCCCGCCAACTTAACTTTTTATCACCAGGTGTACCCAAACAAAACGTTGTAGCTCATGATTAACTTTAATATCAAGTCTCTCATCATTAAATTCCAGTCAGTCATTTGCCTAATTTGTAATACAAAATATCGAGTTAAAATAAACTCGAAATGGACCAAGACCAAGAAGAGCCGCAACTCGGGCACAATGGAGAGTAAATAGCCTTTCCCCTCAACTTGTCGTTATTCAGTGATAATGCATGTATTGATCCAAACTTTTCAACTAGTATTGCATTGTATTTTGCAAATTCGAGTCCGTATACAGTCACCTAATCAGTGGGCGCTTTGTCTATGATTCATGTTTTTTTGAAGAGAAATTATAACAGTTCGATGATTGAAATCTATCCATCTTGATTTTTCTCAAATACCGATGGGCCGATTATAGAGTGGCTTTTTTTTAATTTTCAAAAATAGCACATTGCTCGCTTGTACGTATGGTGCTATAAAATCTAATCTATTACCTAATCGATTCCTCTACCAGTTTAGAGTCGATGTATCGGTATCGGGTATCGGTATCGGCAATATCGGCTATTTTTTCGGTATCGGTCATGTATCGGTATCGGCTGAATTAATACCGATATTTCCGATATATTTACCTTTTAGATATGATCCAGAATGTTTTAAAAGGTAAGTTAAAATATTACTTTTTAATTTATTTTTTTGTCCAGACAGATCGGGAACTATGAGCATGTCTACACCCCCGCGAGTGGTAACGAGAATATGATTCACCTGTTTTTAAATATTTACTAGCAGAACCAGCTCATCTAATTTGACTTTTTTTTTGCTGCCAACTTTTTATATTGACATTTTTAATACATATTACATATTAATTATGAAGAAATATATCAACACGGCACAGAAAAGAGAGCAACTAGGCGCTCAGTTTTAAATCATACAGTGGAATCGAAGCACTGTTTGGCACAGTTATAAATTCTGTTTATCGTCAAGCGCGAGTGTCATTCAGTCCATGGACATCGTTAGGCTAAATTTCGACGCAATTATCTCTCTACACAGGTATTAAATATTGTGATTATAGTAATTTTAATTTTGTTCAAATACACAATTTCTTTATAGATTTGTTGATGTGGCCGCCTAGTATCATACGTGGGGTATAGGTATTTCTAGTCGGCACTGATTGATATCCTTTAATTTTGGCTGTAATTGTCGCGACGATCACGATTAAACACAAAATAAAATATTTGCATATATTCGATATTCTTTTAAACACGAAAAACGATATTCGAAGGTCGCGATATTAATAATAAATTGGAATTGGACATCCCGGCATATTAGTTTTCTAATTGGACACCGAGATTACTAGCGTCAGTGTACAATGCATCCGAATCAGTTAATGCATTCGGATACCAAACATCAATTTCTTATGTGATATATCTTTTTTTCAATCTGAAATATCGGTGACAAAAGTGGTATCGGTACATCTCTAGTTTAGACCCGTTTTATGGTGGCCATCCGTTATTACCCGTTGCATATTCATTTATATATAGGTGAGGTTTAGAATATCAATATTTTCTTAGATATTTGTACCAGTGTATGAACAATTGTTACATTGATGACAAAATAATTTTAATGACGACACTAGGGATGATAATCTGTAATATCTTTCAAATTTTGAACAAACATACTTATTCATACTAGACTTAAACCAGGAAAAATTTTAGGCGTTTTTGGATATTGAGATGTGACGTTAAAAACAAAGTAAGAATATATTCGAATAAGAGAAAATTGTTTGCGAAACATCTAACCTTCCATGGCCATATAATTCCGTTTGGTATCCATGTCTTTCAGTTGCGTTTCGTTCTTTATATATAGCAGAAAGAATGAAAAGTTTTGACTTTCGGATTCCGGTTCTTCT